GGGGTACCAGCAGAATCGAAGGTGTTGGTTTTCTTCGGTTCAGTGGTCCAAGGAAGAAGAAGGGGCTATATTTTATTGAAGCTGTTCGCAGTATTATACTGCGTTTTAAGTAAAACGCAGTATAGTACTACGAACAGCTTCAATAAAATATAGCTGGGCCCTACATCTTAGTAAAACGCAGTATAGTACTGCGAATTACAAAAAAAGAATTTTTTAAGTAAAACGCAGTACTATACTGCGAATTAATTTAACGGCAAAATTTCCGTTAAAGTAATTTGCAGTATAATACTGTATTTTACTCATTTATGTATCTTTTTATTAAAGTAGTACAAAAGTGTTTTTTGTCCAAGAAATGATTAAAAATGTTTCAGACTCTTAGTTTCCATCTTTACTAACACTGAGTCGATTTCATTTTACTTAGTTTAAATGTTCAGCTAATTGGTTTAATTGTTAAGTAATAGTTTTAATTAGTTCAAACTAATTGGTTTAGTCTAAATTCCTTTTGTAATCTGATTTTTGTCCCTTTAGATTTTTAGTTTAATTCTGTTCCAAACCTATGTTAAAATTGTTTAGATTAATGTCTTGTTAGTTTAATCAAGTTTCAAGTGTTCTTCAATTCAGTGTTCATTAGTGTGAGGTTCAATCCCTTTTAATTAGTCTCAGTTTAGGTGATTGGTTATAGTTGTTAGAAGTTTAATTAGGGTCAATAATTTCAGAGGGTTTTCAGGGGTAGTTTAGGCATGGAAAAGGGATGTTTTGTTAAGAATAGTAATTTCAAAACCAAAATAAGGGTAGTATAGGTATTCTAGAGGTAGGAGAGCACCCTAGGGCTTTCTAGAAGGGGGCCTTGGTGTAAGTTTCAGTTTTTTAGAAGCAGTAACTTAAGTAACAAGTTAGGAAATGAGGGTGTTAACTTGTGTAATAAGTTAAAAAACAAGGGACTAATAGGCAACTGAAAATCTGAAGCTTCCCCTTAGTTTTGCCTATAAAAGACAGTCTTTATTGCCTTGTTGGACAAGTTTGGAACCCCAAAAAATTCCCACCAAAAGCTCTCTCCCTTTCTCTAAATTTCAGATTAGCATTTGAATTCAAATATACAAAAATACAAAAACATCAAAAATAGAAAACCAAAAAATATTTTCACTGTTTCATAGCCTATTTCAGACAATTTTCAGATTATGCTTTTATGTTTTTCATTTCTGTTCTGTACCTGAGTGTTTGTAGCATCAAAGGTGTTTGAGGTTATTCGGGGTGATTGCTGGTCATTTATTTTCGATTGCTGAAAGGTTTTGTAGCTTCTGGTATAATTGCAATTACATTCGAGTGTGTTCAAGTAATTTGTGATGGTTTGCTTGGTGTGGCTTGATTTCAAAATTCTTCGTGGTTATTGAGCTAAGTTCTGGCTGAATGATTTCTGCTCGTGGTGTTTGCTGCTAACTGATTCTGCTTCTTCTTAATCCCGAAATTCCAGGTACACGCGTGAATCCTAATTGATGTAGCTTTGAGATTGGCATGACGTGAAAATGCTTCTGCCTGTGAAGTGCTTGACAGTCAAATGGATTTGAATAATATATGATTAGTTTATGTAATTTGAGTTCCGTTAGTTATGTGTATTGGACTGCATGATTGGGACTGCTTAGGATCAATCTGGACTGTTAATCTGTGAGGGACTGAACTGTGCTTATTGTAGTTTATTGTTTAAAGTTTCGGCACTTAGGAACTAATTCAAAATCTGCAATACGCACTCTTTATGGGCTAGTTGAGTTTCGAACTATTAATCTCAACTGGTGGGCTGTGTGAATATACATCATTTCAGTTTTAGTTAAATTCAGGTTCAAAAGTGAGCATGAAATTTCAATTGCACAAGGTGTTAGCTAAAATTCCTATGTAAGTATAGTTTTCATTGCCATATTTCCCCTGTTAATTGTCACTGTTAAGAACGTATGAGTAGATTTGATTGGTTAAGTGGAATAATTATAAAATAAACAAACAAAGCAATTGCTTGATTCATGGAGACATTTACAGGACTCACAAGTACATGCATACCGTGTTAGGAGATTAGTAGTAATTTGGATTCATTGATAAGCTGAACGGGACAACCTGTTGGTTCATTAAATGTGGACTTGTTTCTCATTGAATGCGGCACATATATGGATAGTCCCTCTTTTATGCAATTACAAGTAAATGGCATGGGGTCATTAATAAATCCCAAATGCTGAAGTCTCTTTGAAGTCAGGGATTTTTAAGTTCGGTCTTTATCTTGAAATGTAGTAACTCCTAAGCCTCTGTTAATTAATTAGGATATTTTTTGTAGAGACAAATAAAATAGAAAATCGCAGTCGCTTCAGGTTTGCCTTTTTAAAAAAAAATGAGATGAGCCTCGCCCAAACAAAATACATAAATTACGGGGCCCTCGGTAAATGGTTGTATTAAAATACTTAGATTTCGGGACGGGCCGTTTAGCGAATTTCACGGTATTTTCCAAAAAATAATAACGCGTTAGTCTCTTTAGGCACATTAATTAACATTACCTTCCTAAATTCGGGTGCGCATTTATTTGACCCAAATCCAAATCTCAACGGAGTCGAAATGTGTCAACAACCACGGGTGCATTGATATGACGTGGTTCGTGACACGTTTTCACGACGTTGCAATTCTCATAAAGAATAATAATAATAATAAAAGCTGTTCAAAATTAAAAAGCCCATAAGCAAGAATATGTTTTGAATCAGATAAAATCAAATACAATAGTTGAGCCACCGTGCTAGAACCACGGAACCCGGGAATGCCTAATACCTTCTCCCAGGTTAACAGAATTCCTTACTCGGATTTCGGATTCACAGACTGTTAACAGAGTCATAATTTCCTCGGTTCGGGATTCAACCGGTGACGTGGGACACCATTAATCTCCCAAGTGGCGACTCTGCATATAATAAATAAATACCGTTCCGATTGTCCTTTAATTAGAAAAACTCCTTTATGCCCTTGCGGGCGTAGGTGAAAAAGGAGGTGTGACAGCTCTGGCGACTCTGCTGGGGAACGAACCCAGAATCTCTGGTTCAGGGTTTAAGAATTCGGGCTTAGAATAATTATTGTGTTGGCTTTATCTGATCTCCTTACATGTTTCATGCTAAATGTGCTAAATGCTTTACCGCTTTGCTATTATCTAAATTGTATATAAGCTATGCCGAAACCCTTCTCTTCTTACCTCCGGGGATGTGCTTACTGGTTGAGACTCCCTATTCTGTTAGTGTCATACCCTGAAATAAAAAAGAGGCTCAGATAAGTTGCAAAGCCGGACGATCTCGCGGGTCCCCGGTACGCTACCCCCTCCTCGACTCTAGTTGTCCGCTCGAGTGCACTGTTTAGAACACATACCCAGGTTTTGAACCTAGAATAACTTGACTTCATGCCGGATCCCTAGTAGGAGCGCTTAATTGCATCATGTTGCATCTGACTTAGGGGACTCAACACAGGGGTTGGGTCCGTCTAGGGCTAGCAACCTGAAATGAAAAGACCATCCTGATGCATCCTACTTGTTCTGTACATATATTTGTTTCGAACCGGCATGTTGACCGGCTTTTGAATCTCGGGAATGTTTAAAAATTGAGAAAAAGTGGAAAAGAGAAAAAGTGAGAAATAGTAGTTAGCGAGTTAATTGATTATTTTAGAAAAACCAATGACCAAATACTATCGAAACTCTGCCGAAATTTTGAGAAAATGGAAAAACGAAAATGTTTTATTTTTAATAGATTGTTTTACTAAAAAGCAAAGGAAAAATAGAAAAAGAGACTTTTATTTTTGGAAAGTTGTTTGTTGAAAAAGAAAAGAAAAAGAGTCTTTGTTTTAGTTTGGAAAAAATAGGTTGTTTATTGTTTGTTGAAAATGAAAAAGAAAGGGAGAGTCGTTATTTTGTCTTGTTTTCAAAAATAGAAAAGGAAAAATAGTTTGTCTTGCCATGGAAAATGAAAGGAAAGAGCCTTGTTTTCAAAAATATAGTTAGTTTCTTTGGCCGAACTACGCCGGTTGGATTCTCACAGGTGTGGGATACGTAAGCAACCCTCATCAGGTCCAACATCCCCTTTGCAAAAATAGCCAAAAATATTTAAGTTTAAATTTTGGCATGAATAAGTCGGGTGATGCCGTTTTCGTCAAAAACAGTCGAACGTTCCCGAAATGGACGTCGGAAGACTGACTTTGCATAACGGCCACCTTTGGTCATTTTTAGATTTTTGGCCAGTTGACCCGCACAGCCTTATATTTTTCGTCCCCGAGGAATTAGAAGGCCGTGTTCTGCAATATCGGGTCACTTATTTTGACAAACAAAGAAATAGTCATAAATGAGTCGGGTATTATCGTCTTGTCAAAATA